ATAACAGGAACAAAACCTGAAAATAAGGATCCTAGGTGAGGTTTAAAGAAACAGGGCCTCAGTTCATTTAATGACCATTCAAAGTGACGACAGCACTGAAAAAAAAGCTTATGATCGTTTTTCACACTTATGATGGTTGCAGCATCCCCCGCGATCAGATGATCGAAATTCAGATGCTTGGCAACTGCTTCATACTTACGATGGTTGCAGCGTCCCGGGGGTTACGTGATCCCCTTTTGCGACCTCCTGACAAGCAAAGTGAAGGAGGAAGCCAGGTTCACTTAACAACCGAATAACATCAGTGTTTCTCAACCTTGTCAACTTGAAAATGTCTGGACTTCAACTCCCAGAATTCCCCAGCCAGCGAAAGCTGGCTGGGGAATTCTGGGAGTTGAAGTCCAGACATCTTCAAGTTGACAAGGTTGAGAAACACTAACTTAGCGGCTGCAGTGATTGGTTTAACTTTGGCAAGAAAAGTCGCAAAATGGGACAAAACTCACAACAAATCTCTCACTTAAAGACAGACATTTTGGGCTCTATTGGGGTCATAAGTCGAGAACTACCTGCATTAAGAGCGATTATGACATCACACGCACAGCTTCCTCTTCCAAGAACTCAAAACACATCCCATTGGATCCAAATCATCTTTTTCCTCAGCAAGCTTGGTTAACCTGTTCTAAAACTTAGTTACAAAGAGACTAATATAAGCATTAAAGGTAAAGGTTACCCTTGCACATATGTGCTAGTTGTTCCTGACTCTAGGGGGAGGTGCTTGTTCCCGACTCTAGGGGGCAGTGCTCATCTCCGTTTCAAAGCCGAAGAGCCAGTGCTGTCCGAAGACGTCTCCATGGTCATGTGGCCGGCATGACTAAACGGCGAAGGGGCACAGAGTTCTATTACCTTCCCACCAAAGTGGTCCCTATTTTTTCTACTAGCATTTTTACATGCTTTCGAACTGCTAGGCTGTCAGAAGCTGGGACAAGTAACAGGAGCTCCCTCCATTACGCAGCGCTAGGGATTCAAACCGCTGAACTTCCAACCTTCTGATCAACAAGTTTAGCATCTTAGCCACTGAGCCACCGGGCCCCTGTTCTAAAACTCAGTTACAAAGAGACTAAGGTCAGCATTAGCTACAGCCAATCTAGACCAATCTTAACCTTGGCAGCTTTAAGGGCTATGGAACTTCAACTCCCAGAATTCCCGAGAAACTCATGCAGCTGAATTGAAAAGGGCACCTACGGGCACCCAGCAATGCTATACTTGTTCTGAAAAGAGCGAGAAAGACTTGAGACCATCCGTGCTTCTCAAACTTGGCAACGTTTAAATCTCAAAGACTGATAAAGTCAAAGTGCGGACTTCAACTCCCAGAATTCCCTTCATATTATTGCAAAAAGCTAAGCTTTATTCAGAACAGTTTACAACCGGGCTGTCAAACTCCCAGCCCACGCCCAGGTTAGCGAAATTCCTGATATGTCACGTGACGACACCGTGATGAGTTTGACACCCCTAGCTTACCTCTCCCAACACTACCTCCAACNTTCCAGTATTTGAGGGGCTGCCACAAAGAAGAGGTCAACTTATTTTCCAAAGTACCAGAAGACAGGACAAGAAACAATGGATGGAAATTAAGCAACCTGGAATTAAGGAGAAATTTCCTAACAGTGAGGACAATGAACCAGTGGAAGAGAAGTTGCCTTCAGAAGTTGTGGGTGCTCCATCACTGGAGCACCCACAACTTTTAAGAAGAGACTGGACAATCCATTGTCTGAAATGATATAGGGTCTCTTGCCAGAACAGGGGGCTGGACTAGAAGACCACCAAGGTCCCTTCCAGCTCTGTTCTGATTGATATTTAGGACTCAACTTCAATCAACATTCATAAAATCTTATGGGGGTTTCCCTCCCCTGGAACACAACATGACACAACTCCATCCCAACCATAAAATGAGAACTATCCCTTATTTTAAAAAGGGGTCCTGTGGTTAGGAAGCAGGGCGGTAACCAATGTTAAAAGAAGTCCTTGACGTACAACCATATTTCAGCCCAGAGTAATGGTTGCAAGTCGTGATCATTAAACGGGTCACCCTGCGAGTGTACCCAATTTAATGATCTTTTTACCATGGATGTTGAGTGACTGCAGCGGTCATTAAGGGAATCCTTTATACCCAATGGGCATTTGTTCTTGTTTTTTCTTTTGCTGGACAATGGCAGTAAAATGCCAGAAAGCAGCCAAAAAAACCCCAAAAAAACCCCACCACTTAAAATTGTGGTCATGGGACCATGGGATGCTTCAAACAGCCATGATGAATGTGAGCTGGTTTACAAGGATCCAAAATGTGATCACACAACTGGAAAGGGGGGGGGAGTGTCTGTGGGAACTTGAAAAACTGGTCGTAAGTAGTTCTGGGAAGTCCATTGTAACTTTGAATGGCCATTAAATGACGGTTTGTTGTGCTGGGACAACCTGTAGCATCTCAGGCTGGCAGTTGCTTCAAGAGTCAAATCGGTTCTTAACCTAATTGGGGGAGGGACAGAGGATCTGGTTTTTAAGCCCTGCAGGGCTGTGAGTCCCTTGGACTGCAAGGCGATCCAACCGGTCAGTCCTAGAGGAGATCNTATCCTGCCTATTTTTAATATTTCCCAAAGTATTTCATTCTTGGGGGGCGGGGGGAGGATTCCCACAGCACAAAGCCAGCTGGGTGACCTTGAGCCAGTCACTTCCTCTCAGCCCTAGGAAGAAGGCAATGACAAATCACTTCTGAAAAGCCTTGCCAAGAAAACTGCAGGGATTTTTCCAGGTAGTCTCTGAGAATTGGACATGATTGAACTGAATAAATTGTTTTAGTAGAGTAACGTCTATATTAAGCAAAAGCTTGCTTCAAGGTAAGACTTGGCCAAGACCACAGCTGATGTTAGTTAGTTAGTTAGTTAGTTAGTTAGTTAGTTAGTTAGTTAGTTAGTTAGAAAGCTGCTATTTGAATTTAATTCCTGTACTAGTTTCATTCAGAGATGCTTTGTTAATGAATGTCAAGATTTATAATCCAGCAACATGTAAAGTCATTGCTAATCAGAACAGACATTAATGGGACGTAAAAAACCTATGAACACCATGTTAACAGTAGCAACTACATAACTCCTTCTGACTTAGTCATCATCTCCGGGAGGGGGGGGATGTCATTGCCAATATTGTCATTTAAGAAAAAAAAAACATTTACTTAATCTTAGTAGCATGCATGCACAAAACAACAGGGGAGGAATTAATTTACCTGGTCATATCTGCACAGTTGCTATGTTGTGGAGTAGCAAAAGGCAGCAGGGGGGGAAAAAAGCATATCGAACAACCTATTTAATTATATTTCACATATTTTAAGAATGTTCCTTTGCAGTTTGACAGCACTGACTAAAACGTAGGTTCTTTTGCAATCTCTGTTTATTTCAGGCTACATTAAATAAAGAGAAGGACGAAACCATACACCCACCAACACTGGCAGGTTTGATAAGTCCTCGACTTGTGACCGGTTGGTTAGTAACAATTCAAAGTTACAACGGACCGGAAAAAAGATTCTTATATGACCCAGATTTGAAGTTCCAACAATGCCCATACAGCTGTGTAATTGCTTTTTGAGGACTCAGAAACTGGTTCACATTTAAAACTGTGTGCAGAGTCCAGCAATCATAGGACTGCAATTTATGATTAATTTATTTATTTTTTGCTGGAAAATGGCATTTACTTCCTCTTTCTGGCAGAAACACCCATTATGGACAATGGGCTCACTTGATTTACTTAACAATTGCTGCAAAAAAAAATGTTGTAAAATTGGGTCAGTCAAAAGATAAACTGTTTAATAACCAGTACAACCTACAACTGTAATTCTAGGTTCAATTACAGTCATACATTGAGAAATAGAATAGAATAGAATAGAATAGAACAGAACAGAACAGAATTCTTTATTGGCCAAGTGTGACTGGACACACAAGGGATTTGTACATCTTTGGTGCATATGCTTTCAGTGTATATAAAAAGACAAGATAATTCTATAGAATAGAATGCAATGCAATGCAATGGAATGGAATAGAATAGAACTGAACAGAATTCTTTATTGGCCAAATGTGACTGGACACACAAGGAATTTGTGCATCTTTGGTGCATATGCTTTCAGTGTATATAAAAAGACAAGATACATTCTATAGAATAGAATAGAATAGAATAGAATAGAATAGAATAGAATAGAATAGAATAGAATAGAACAGAACAGAACAGAACAGAATCCTTTATTGGCCAAGTGTGACTGGACACACAAGAAATTTGTGCATCTTTGGTGCCTATGCTCTCAGTGTATATAAAAAGACAAGATACATTCCTCAAGAATCATAAGGTACAACACTTAATGATAGTCATAGGGTACAAATAAGCATCAAATCATACTAGGAAACAACCAATATAAATCGTAAGGGTACAAGCAGGAAAGTTACAGTCATACAGTCATAAGTGGGAAGAGACAGGAACGATGAGAAGATTAATAGTAATAGTAATGCAGACTTGGTAAATAGTTTGACAATGTTGAGAGAATTATTTGTTTAGGGACTGATAGCTTTCAGGGGGGAAACTGTTCTTGTATATAGTTGTTCTGGGGTACAGTGCTTTATAGCATCATTTTGAGGGTAGGAGTTGAAACAATTTATGTCCTTGATGCGAGGGGTCTGTAAATATTTTCACAGTCCTCTACTTCCACTCATTTGCACTGATGACGTTCCCTAGTTGGGTCATAAAATGTCTGCAAGCAATCGACAAAGCTCAGAGAGCACCAAGGACTCCACAGTAAATAGTCAGGGCAAGAATGCCTACCTTGTTATTTTCCTTCTTGCTACATTCCAGACAACCAAAGCCCTGCTGTCTACAAACACAATAAATTCTGCAGATTGATAACCTGTCACCATGGGGTGGTGGCCATGGATATTTCTATTGCAACAAAAACAAGTTCATTAGAGCAAGAGGTTTACCTAGGTCTCCAACAGGAAACAATACCTGGGTGAGTTTAGTTGTGTTGCAAAGCTAAGCAGTGCCAGGTTTGAACAGGAACAGGAGCAGGTAAGCTCAGCCTAAAGAGTAAACAAGGAAATCGAAGTTAAAAACAATAGCTCATGCCTCCCATGCTGCCAAGGAACTTGCATAGATCCAGGCATGCAGTCACAAACTTAACCCCAAGGGTGTATTTATCTTTACCTTTAGCCCAGTTGGCACTTCAAACTTTACTATTTACCGTATTTTTTGGAGTATGAGACACACTTTTTCTAAAAGAGGGTGAAAAAATTTGGGTGTGTCTTATACTCCAAATGTAGCCCAAAATGCAAGGCACGGAGGAGGGGATGGTCTAGGGAATGGTATAGGGCCGTGATGGCGAATCAATGGCATGCATGCCACAGGTGGCACACAGTGCCCTCTCTGCGGGCACTCCGGCCGTTGCCCCAGCCCAGTTCTACTGTGCATGCCTCCTGCCGGCCAGCTGGTCTTCGGGTCTCTCCCACACATGTGTAATGGAGGAGGCTTTCCCTGATCTCCAAAGGTCCCCCCCCCCCCAGCGCTCCCTAACTTTCTCCTCCATTTCTGCCACCCACACCAAGCTGAAAACCAAAAGAGGGCATGGAGAGGCCAGGGCGCATGTGCGGAGGGGGTGATCGCACTGCATTTTGGGGATTGGGGCATGCACACACGCACACACACTTTGGGCACTTAGCACCAAAAAGGTTATCCATCACTGGTGTAGGGTTTCCTGCTTGGGCAGTGGGCTGGACTAGAAGACCTCCAAGCTCCCTTCTAACTCTGTTATTCTGTTATTAAATAGCAAAAAACGTCTTCACTAGGAACAATTTAATTAAGCTTGTTTAAAATATAGCAGTAATAATAGGGGTTAAACCCTCTGCTGAATATAAATAAATAACCCACTCCCCAATACTAAGTAATAGTAATTGACAATCCATCTTTTTCTTGTTACAGTTTCTTTTACTTCTGGCTGCCTTCTTATTTTTCAGACTTTAGCCATGAGGTCGTTTAATGGCTGTAGGAGTAAACCTACAGCATCCGAGGCTCAGAAACTGGGGGAGGGAAGACAAATATCTATATTAAAATCTGTACTTCCTTTGGGAGCCAAATAATCATACTGACTGAAAGAATCATTAGATTATTAAACATAGAAGAAGTCAGAACTATTTTCAAATACAGCTTTATCCTGAATGATCACTCAGCAAATCTAAAATTTATGTTGTCCGTGTTTTTCCAAGGGTTTTCACTGTTTTATAGCCAAATATTTTGTGTTTTGCAAAAATTCAAGCCTAAGCCAAAACTATTCAGTGCTAAAACGTGGTTTTTTTCTTTACAGGAATATTTTAAGGCTGATTTCTCAGAACACTTGGGACTCCCCGTCCATTCCCGGAAGCACCAACCTAACTTCATGTACTATACATCAATTATTTAATGCCAGCCTTTTTCTTGAGAACTTTTCCACTGCCTGCACCTTGCAGTGAAACTGATCACATGATTTTGAACAAGCAGTTCACTCTCCGCCTTTACCTAAAGGGTAAAGGTTCCCCTTGCACATATGTGCTAGTTGTTCCTGACTCTAGGGGGCGGCGCTTGTTCCTGACTCTAGGGGGCACTGCTCAAACTCTGTTTCAAAGCTAAAGAGCCAGCGCTGTCTGAAGACATTTCCGTGGTCATGTGACCTGCATGACTAAATGCCGAAGGCGGACGGAACGTTGTTATCTTCCCACTAAAGGTGGTTCCTATTTTTCTACTCGCATTTTTACATGCTTTCGAACTGCTAGGTTGGCAGAAGTTGGGACATGTAACAGGAACTCACTCTGTTATGCAGCGCTAGGGATTCAAACTGCCAAACTGCCGACCTTTCTGATCGACAAGCTCAGCATCTTAGCCACTGAGCCACCGTGTCCCTCGTCTTAA